ACTTGCTAGGCAAGCGCCTATGCCACTGAGCTGTATCCCCAGTCCCAGAAGAGTGAACATGTATCTCATCGCAAAGGCAGTGCTCAGTGTGTGGTTTATTTATTTTATTTTTGTTTTTGGCGGAACCGGGGACTGAACTCAGGCCTTTGCACTTGCCAGGGAAGCGCTGATTCCACTGAGCCACCTCCCCGGCCCCTCAGTGGGTTTCTGCAGATGCGAGCAGCAGGGAGTTGGGGTGGGCCGCTGCTCCTGCACGTAGGGCGGAGCTCGCGTGCCTCTGAACATCCCTGTCTGTGTCCTGCAGGGTGCGCTGGGTGAAGAGCACAGCCTCTGTACCTCCCCAAGGGCATGTGTTGTGCCGCTGAAGGGTAGCAGCTGGCCTGTGTTGTGCTCCAGAATCAAGGAGTCCACGTAGACGGGGACCCCCCGGAGGAGCACACAGGGCCAGGCACTGTGCTTCTCACCCTGTCTGCACCAAAGATAAGATAGGGATGCTGTCATCCATTTTGAGAGGGGTGGGCAGAAGTGAGTCACTTGTCTGAGGCCATGGGGCTCATTGGATGGCAGTCAGGACCGAGCCCAGGAATTTCATCTGGGTGCCTCTCTCCCTTGACCTGGCCTGTGGCCTCCCCTGACAGCATGCAGCTGTCTGTGAGCCCAGGCTATTTCTAGGGCATTCCTAGGGAGTTTCTTCTGTCCTTCCAGACTTGGCCCAGTCCCCAGCCTTCTTGGCATCACCCGTAGGCAAGGGGTACAGTAACTTGTAGTGAAGAGGGAGGTGTGAGGTCACCTCATAGCCACAGTCAACGTTTCAGAGCCTCAGGTCTTAGCTTGTATAAGGGGTTGAAGTAGGCTATCCTGAGAATTCCTGGGATGGTGTAATGAGATTGGACATGTAAGATGCGTTAGTGTAGAGCTGGACACGTAAACTTCAGTTTGTTCCTTGCCATGTGCTCTGCCCACCTCAGCCTGAGGAAGTACCTTATTGATAGTGTGGGAACAATGCACAATGTGTTCGGACCACTGGGCAGGGAGAGTGATGGGGTCCGACTGTGGTGGAGGATGTTAGAGGGCCCCAAGCGGGGAACTGAGGGTGCACTGCCACGGGAGTATGGGTACTGCTCACAGACCTGGCAGCCAGCCCTGCCTCCCTGTGGCTCCACTTGGCTGGGGGCTCTTCCTGCCTGGTCCAAGGCCTGCCCCTTATTCCTGCCACAGTCCAGTCTTGTTTTCCTGGCAGTAGCTGCAGTCAGCAGATGACTGTGTACCCCAGCACAAACTGTTTAAAGTGCTTGGCTCTGAGGAATCTTGAATAAGCTGTGGCTGTTCTTTTTTGAGGGAGTAAGGGAGAGGTTTATTCAGGATTAAGCCCAGGGTCTTCACACTGCTCTATTCCCAGTCCTTTTTTTTATATTTTATTTCAAGACAGTCTTGCTAAGTTCTCAGATTTGAATTTGGAATCCTCATGCCTCAGGTTACAGGCCTGTGCCACCATGTTTAAGTGGCTATTCTTTTTTTTGGGGGGGACAAGGTTCACTGTGTGGTTCAGGCTGACCTTGAGCTCACTTTGTAGCCCAGGCTGGTAGCAAAGGTCCTCCTGCCTCAGCTTCCAGAATGCCAGAATTATAAGCGTGTGCCACCATGCATGACTGGTGGCCTTTTTTTTATTTCAGTACAGGGTCTGCAGGGTCTCACTATGTAGATCAGACTTATGGTGATCCGCCTGTGTTCAGCCACCCAAGAGCTGGGATTACAGGTGCACGTCTCAGTCTCAGTCGCTGTCTCAGTGCGCCCAGGGCTGGCACAGAATGCTGGGCATTGAACCCCAGCCACTGCGTCTTTCTAAGCAGGTGCTTTAGTGTACTGAGCAATTTGGGCAGCCCTTGGGTGGCCATTTTTATTATTCATATTCTCTGGAAATCTTTTCCCAGTCAGAGTGTTTCCTTTAGCATGTCCTCATCCATGGCTTTGTGATTTCTTGGCAGCCTATTCTGTTTCCTGCATGGGGAGAGCTGACCAGAGTGACTTTCAGCTCACAGAGGAGCCTAGGCCTACGTGTCTTGTCTTGACTGGGCGGCTGGGGTGATAGTTCAGTGGAATAAGCACTTGGCCTGGCAAGTACAAGGGACTGAGTTCAATCCCCAATTCTGCCAGAGAGAGAGAGAGACAGAGAGAGAGAGAGACAGACAGACCTGAGGGGGTGCAGGCTGACTGCAGTGCAGCCTGCGGGCAGGCGGTCAGCACCTGCACTACCATCCCCAGAGGCTCTCACGTGGCGCTGCTGAGATGTCTTCTCCTGCAGTTGTGGGAACCCCAGTGGATGGCCGATAGGCTGGACATCCAAATTCTGGTCTCTACAGTGCTGCAGCCCTTGGAATTGTTGTGTCCTTGCTCCCAGACGTACTTGTGTACCCCAGCTCATTCTCTCTGCTTGAGCAGGCACTCCTGGGCCTGAAGACACAGCAGAGAGCCAGCCCTGACTGCCTGCAGTTCTTTGCACAGCATCGCTCTGCCAGGCCTGATTGGTAGAGCCCTGCTGCGGTCGCCCAGTGGGTGGGCTCCTGCAGGCCCCTTTCCTTCCTGTGCCACACAGGTGGCAGGTGCTTGCCACTTGCTGTGGCAGTCAGCTGGGTCTACGTGTCTGTTGTAACTTCTGCAGACTCTTGACTGCTACAACCCTGTTGATGCTGAGGGACTTCAGTGAGTTGGGCAGTGGTCCCTCACCATTATGACAGCCCCAGGAACACTGGGAGTGGATCCTGCCCTCTGTTCCCAGGGCCTGGCACTGAGTGAGGGTTCAGTGGGCTGGTGGTATCAGGAAGGCTGGAGTGGCGTTTGTGTGAGTAGAGAATGGGTGAAGTCTGAGGCTAGGTTCTCATTTTCTGTGTGAGCAAGGCTGGGGGTGTAGCCCCTATCAGGGTGTTTGTAGCCGTGGGATGGAGAAGCAGGCCTTGTGGTCAGGGTGTGGGCTGAAGCCTCATTTCCCCGTTGGCTGGCTGTGTGACCTACCTACCTGCTCTGGGTCTTCGTGTCTGTAAGTGGGAACCAAGAGCAGAGGGCCTTTCGTGTTCAGTGCGGCTTGCTGCTACCCTTTATCATTAGAGAGCATGCTCACCTTCTGGTGTTCACTGACCCCGTTTATCACCTGCTTTTTCTCTATAGAGGAAGAAACGTAAGCAGCAGAAAGAGGCTGAGGAGGAAGAGCTGGAAATGCCCCCTCAGTACCAAGGTGAGGCTTCCATCCTGCTGTCTTGGGATGTACTGGTCCTGTCACCTACAGCAGGCAGAGTTGCAGGGCAGGGCAGCAGTGTCCTGAGGCTATACAGCCTGGTTGCACTCAGTTAGTGCCAGTGCAGTTTGGCTGATTGAACACCCAAGAATAAGCTGGGCCAAGTGATACGGTAATAAGGGAGAGTCTGAGGGCTAGAGTTTCTGTACACAGGACCCCGAGCTCTTCCAGGTATCACCCGGGCCTTCTGTGAGGCCTGTACCTATCCCTCCCTTCCTGGGAAATACCTGCTTCCCTTATCCATCTAGCAGCTCCAGCTGTGAGTCTTGTAGCCTGTCTTCTTGATGGTTCACAGGTACAGGATGAGGAGGATTGATACTGAGCTAGGCCAGAGGGTTCCTTTCCTGTGTGTCTCTGTTTCTAGCTGGTGGTTGCTCTGCTTCCTTCCTCTCAAGGTATCCCCCATGGCCTCGTGCCTATGCCCTTGGAGCTAAACGCCTGCTGTGCTTGTAGAGGCCCTAAGCCCCTGTGGTATCCAAGAACCTGTGAGTCTTACGGCCCACAGCTCGAGCCCTTGCTCACCTGTTCTGCTCTAAGATAACGTGTTAGGCAGAGAGCAGTGCCGGGCCATGCAGCAGAAGATACGGAGGCGGGACAATGTGCTCAGCTACGGCTTAGCTGTGTGACCTCGGTCTGGTCCAGCTGCTTCTCTGAGCTTCCAGTTTCTCATCTGTAAAGAGTTCATACTGGTCTCTCAGTGAGTCCTTCTGAGTCAGCATTGCAGAATTCCATCCATGAGTATTGGATTCCAGGCTGGAGGTAGCAGCTCACCTGGGGCAAGGATACTGTACTCTCTTAAGCTAGTTTTTACCTCTGTGCAATGGGATGAACAGACCTCATATTTCACAGAGCTGAGTGAAGCCCAAATGAGGTGGGGGCAGGAAGACCTAAAGTGCCCTCCCTACTTTCTTTCTTTTTTTTTTGCGGAACCAGGGATTGAACTCAGGCCTTTGCGCTTGCCAGAGAAGCGCTTATTCCACTGAGCCATCTCCCCGGCCCCCTCCCTACTTTCTAGATGAGAACAGGATTCTCCAGAAAATAGTAGTAGAGCCAAGAGTTGAACTTGGATCTCTCTCTTTTTTTTTTAATGTCTTTAGTACAGGGCCTACAGGGTCTCACTATGCAGATCAGACTTGTAGTGACCCTGCCTGTTTTTCAGCCTCCCAAGTGCTGGGATTATAGGCGCATGCCACCATACCCAGACTCAGTTGCCTTCTCAGTGTACCCTGGGGGCAAGGCTGGCATACCAGGCTAGGGAGGCTGGGGATCAAACTCCTGGCCCCCTGTGTCTGCCTAAGCAGGCACTTTAATCCACTGAGTTATCTGGCCGGCCCAAACTTGGGTCTCTTTGAATGTAAGACCCATGTTCTTTCTCCTGGAATAAATGGAACAGGCTTAACTTTAGAGGCTATGGGTCATTTTGTGTTGGGAGAGAATCTGAGTTGACTGTCGGATCACTGGGCAGTCTCTTATGCGTGGACTTTGTCCTTGCTTGGAGAACAGAGCCAAGTTCTTGGCCTTTGTTCATGTGCGCCCTAGCAGCCCTTGGAGGGAGGGAGCCCTTGCCTTCTAGGAATGGGCAGCCCTGGCTCTGCTGACATGGTCCCTCTGTTCTCCCAACAGCTGGAGGCTCTGGCATCCATCGTCCACTGGCCAGGAAGGCCCCACCTGGGGCTGAATACAAGGCCAAGGTAAGAGCTGTGGGTGAGGCTTGGGCTTCCTAGGTTGGGTCCTTGATGGTTGCCCAGGATTTAGGAGCTATACCTGTCACTATCCTTGGGAGGCACCTTGAAAGAGCCAGGCATTCAGGGAGGAGGAAGGGGCATACCCAGGTCTGATTGGCATCTCAAGCTATTTGGCAAGCAGCTTCCCAGGGCCACAGGTACCATCTCTTAACATCTTAGAGAATTAAGGGAAAGAGGATAGAGAGCCAAAATTTTAGGGGTGGGGGCAGAGGAAATCTCACATTTCTCACTGACCATGTTTCTCTGGATGAACAGAAAGCAAAAGGTGATATGAAAAAGAAGGGACGACTTGATCCCTATGCCTACATCCCTCTCAACAGAACCAAGCTTAACCGCAGGTATGGTGTGTGGGGTGTGGTAGGAAACTCAGTTGCACAGATCTCTGGCTTTTTCGTTTGTTTTGTTTTTTGGTACTGGTGGTTGATCTAGGACCTAGGTCTTTGCATGTGCTAGGTAAGCGCTCTACCACTGAGCTACATCCTCAGCCTCCCTGTTTTTTTCCTTTTCCTTCCTTTCCTGTCCTGTCCTGTCCAAAATAAGGCCTTATTGAGTTATCCAGGCTGGCCTTGAACTTAAGGTTCTCCTACTTCTACCTCAAACCACTACCAAGTAGCTGGAATTTATAGGCATGTACCAGTGTGCCCGGCCTTTTTCTTTCTTTTTTAGTTTTTGAGACAGAGTCTCACGGTATAGCCCAGGCTGACTCAAACTCAGCGATGTCCCTGCCTCAGGTTCTCAAGTGCTGGGATTATAAGTGTGCTCCACCACACCTGGCCCCAACTGTTACTTTTTTCCCCCAGCTATTACTTTTTTTTTTGGTGGAGCCGGGGATTGAACTCAGGCCCTTGTGCTTGCCAGGGAAGCGCTTATTCCACTGAGCC